TGTAGGCACCTCAGTATGCTTGATATAGGCCAGCACTAGGTCCCCTCCCTCACCCACTCTTTTTCTCTTCTCTTCACTGTAGGGCTTTTTATACAATTATATATATATATAAACGAACTTTATGGTTGTACGGCAGTGAAGCATCAGTGCCAACACTGATGTTGCTGTCATTGATGATGATGATGATGATCCCCAAATGTTTCAAAGCGGCCGGCAGTCAGTTATCGATCCGCGCCACCGGTAACTGATGGCAAGATGGTTGATTTGGGTTTGTGGCCGGTATGTCGTTTGAGGAGACGACGCGGCCGGACGACTTTCGTTCATTCGAAAGCTAGTGCTGGATTAAAACAGCCTGAGATGAGTACATAGCTGAAGCACTCGTTCCAAATTGTCCATGTGTACTGAGTCCATTCCATGTCGACCCAATTGGGTCTCAAATACGCTAGGCCTGCCCACCCGTGCATTCAAATCTCCGGCAGCCATCACAACTCCTGAGGTTTTAGCTCGCCGCAACAGGGCATCCAGGGAGTCGTAAAACCTGTCTTTGACGAGATACCGTCATTTATGGCGTAGGTGATAACCGGACAACGATCAGCTTTTCGCCTCTAACACTGCTTCACAGACGTTACCGGACGAACCGCACGGAAGCGACTATCAACTAGTGGCGCAGCACTGCTCCGTAAATTCAAAGCACGAAAGTGGGATTGCCAGAGAAAGGATTCAACTAAAATAGCGTCTAAGAAAGCTTTGAACCTGGAACTAGAACCAGCGTGAACACCCGTCGCAGGAAGGCTATTCCACACCGCAACTACCCGAAATGAGAAAAACTGTCTCTTAATAAAGGTTTGTACCTTGAGACTCAAGATGTTACGATGTCCCTACCGTGTGTTAATTGTTTCCGTTTTAATCCAATCCGATTTCGTCCCAGGTCATGGGGAGTTTTTAGCTTTTTAGATGCTCTGCTGAGTTCATGTGGAGCCTATTCTGCAATGATACCGGGTAGCCTAATAGCTGGTTGGTGGAATTACGAGCGTGTCTATGACAGATTCATCTAGGTCTAGAAACTCATCCAAAAAACGCCTAAAAGCCTCACCTGTTTGGCCATCAATATTCGGAAATGCTATCGCACAAATTAATTTCCCTGGAAGGCAAGAAGAAAATTCCAGTCGCCTTTCTGTAGGCTAGGCCTTTCATGCTTGTACCTATGCCCTCAAATAGTTGTCTTTGCCTGAATAGAGAACCTGAGGAAGAGAAATCATGTCCATTCCAGCGCAGTTTTTCGTTGTTAAATACGTCAAGCTCGAGATAACGATGAGATTCTCAATCCTGGAACCCTTATCGCCGCCGATGTGCACACATGTTCTGGCAGCATATTGTTGCCCTTCGTACATGGTATGAACGCCGGTTCTCCGCACTGGAAGACTAGTCGAAAGAACGCCGATGGCAGTCCAGGCAGCCTTTTGGCCCACACATAAATTGACCTTGGAAAGGCCCATAGAATAAAACGAACTTTATCCACGACCACGATAATGTACTTTCGCTACGCGCAACAAACTTCAGGTTCCCATGGCGGCATTCGACCGCCTCATCATTATCAGTAAAGACATCATAATCAATGTTGTCGCTGATACTTCACCCGAGAAGGTCGGTCACCAATGGAACAAGTAGCCCCAGTGTCTATGGATGGCTACTGATATTTCGGCAGTTTGAGCTCCGCCATCCAGCCTTCCATTGTAACTGACGTACTCCGAAAAGATCTCTCATCCTCGTCCAGCACGAGGCAACGACAAGTCTTGAAGTTGCGCGGTTTCGCTCTAGCCATTTAGGAGGGCGATCTACGTAGACACTGAACCGAATACGCCTCAATACCAATCGTTGGCACTCCATTCACTACCAAACAGTGGTTCAGCATGTTGTCTCTTCACCCTGACCCTGTGTTGGCGACCTCGCAACAAGTGGTGGATAATTCGTTTTATCACAAGTTGGCCAAGAGTAAGACATTGGTCTTTTTACAGGGGGAATATGACAGAAGCTAATGTGACCGAAGTTGAGACAAGAGTTTCCGTTTCCAATGTTGTAACGACCGGAACTTGAAAAGCCTCAAAGTGGGGATCCCCACTGCAAGCGTTTTAGATGTTCGTTTCAGTTACACTCCCTATCCGCCTAAAGCGTAATGTTTTTATCATGTAATCTCCGGCGACTTTTAATGTTTCTACATACACGCGACGTGGATGTTGACGACAAAGCGCCGTCCAGAGACGATTCATAACAACAGCCGTGAATAAGATATTCGTTGTGCAATTTGTATGAAGGCATATAACGAGGAATTCCTTATGAGGCCGTGGTGGCAGCATCAGCCACAGGAGGTCATTATCAGCACGTAGAGAGGCTCTGACAATCGCCAGATCACGAACTGCGTACCTTCAAGAGAATCTAGATTTAGACCCGCTGCTGACCCAACAGTATTCCGACCGACGATTGGTCACATCCATCCAGTGCAATCAGCAGACAGATCAGACCAATCAGACCAATCAGCAGCGTCAAAATTGTAGCACATATTTCGGTTGACTTATGTGTACGAGTTGATGACGTAAAAAATAGCCTACTGGACTTCTGCCCACGAGCTTGTTTTCTCTCTCTCGTCCATGGAAATGTTTTGGAAACCCTACCATCGCGAAACCACCCTCCTCAATCAGCTAACATAACGTGCATATTCACGGATTCACGGATTGATACGCAGGATCGGGGCTTTTTCCCAAGTTTCCCGGGTCAGTTTTTTTCTTGTCGGTCAGTGGCTGTCGTTCACCTGAAAGGCACAAGTGAAAAAAGGGTGTAGCACTGCTCTATATGTTCTCAGCGCGGGGCAGTATGCTTGCTAGCGCGAGGATTCGCATAAATAAATGTCTAATAGTGCTTTAAACTGGGTTCTAGAAGGAGCGTGGACAACCGTCGGAGGAAGGTCATTCTACGCAGCTACTACCCGAGATGAGAAAAAAAAATTTGTCTAATGAATGTGTGTGCTCTGAGCTTGAAAATCTTCTTGCTATGCCCCCGCCGTGTGTTTGCTGGGTCAACGGTAAAAAAACTGTTTTCCAAGCTTTGTTCAAACAGGACGTAAGTAAGAATTAGGTCCCCTCGGAGGCGACGGTACTCCAGGGGAAAGAGATCAAGCCTCGCGAGACGCGTTTCGTAGTCCACGGATTTGAGGCCGGCAACCATCCTCGTAGCGGCCCGCTGGACACGCTCAATGTGGGTGAGGTCTTTCGTGCATCCTGAGTAGACAACCCGATTGGCGTATTCAAGGAACGGTCGGACGTGGGCCACGTAGAGTATTTGGAAGTCCATGCGCGTAATACGGTAGAAGGTGCGTCGGATCATCCGTAAAATGGCGAATGCCTTTTGGGCCGATTTCTCATGGTGCAGTGAGAAGGACAAGTTTGAGGAGACCCAGATGCCCAAGTCCTTTTTGACATCTATCCCCATGATGTTTTCTGGTTCCTTCTCACCATGCATAACAAAGGTATTCGCTGATTCCCCTCCAAACGACATATGGACGCACTTTTCATCATTCAGAGGAAGGTGCCAGTCCAACGACCACTACTTTGCCGCATCTACATCCATTTAGAGGGCACTGGCATTGGAACTCTAGGATTTCAAGTCGTCCGCAGAAAGTAGACATGTACTCGCAAGAAGGTCTGGGAGGTCGTTGACGTAGATCAGTCACAGCACTAGTCCCTGGACGGAGCCTTGAGAAACTCCAATGGCGACCGGCGCTGGAGAGGAGTAGGTCGAGCCTATTCTCACTCGGAATGGTCTGCCTGATAGGAACGCACTGATCCAGCGAAGGATTATTCCTTGAACCCCGTGAGACTCGAGTTTGTGGAGCAGCGGGACGTGTAGGACCCTATCAAATGCTTTTGAGAAGTCGCAAAATATGGCATTCGATATGAGTCCTTCGTCCTTGGCTTGGGTTAAGCCGTCCATAAACACGAGCATGCTTGTCACGCAAGAGTGGTTTTGGAGAAATCCGTGTTGAGCTGGAGATACCAGATTGCTGGACGTAAGGTTGTCTAGGATAGCTCGCTTCAGAATGCGTTCCATCACCTTGCACGGCACACTAAAGAGGCTTATCGGCCTATAGCTGCCAGGCGATAGTCGGTTGCCAGTTTTGTAGATTGGCGTGACAATCGCTTCCTTCCAAGTAGTGGGTCAAGTTTTGTACTCTGGCGCAAATCCCTAGTGGGCCAATCTAGCAGTGGTCCACCAGGGTAATTACGGTTGCCGGCAGCTTCATTTTGCACGTTGTTCACCTTGGGAGAGTGAGCCGTCTGAGGCGTGGACCGGGCTCCATTGATGTTCAAGGTCGCGCGTACTGGGTACGCCAAACGTACAAGGGGATTGCTCGCTAAAATTATTAATTTCACCGTCTTTGCGATCTCCGCCTGATCCTCATCGCTAAAACATATATGCTCCCAAAGTGCCGGCAGCTTCTCTCAGCTGATTCTACCTCTCCAACCCATCCATGGTGGATCCGACTATTCCAGTAATTATTTACTGACGCAATAATGAAATGTTCCGTGAATCGCATAAATTAATTCGGATGTTCCCGAAAACTTCGTAAATCCAACAGTACGGCTAATTGCACTCCAGAATGCATCTATTTTATTTAAGGAATCAACTGCTTCTGCAGAGCTTCGCGTCTTGAGTAGAAAACTCTTGGTTAATTCAAGAAGCGGTCTGACGTAGGACCCATGGAATATTTGAAAGTCCGTACGAGTGAAACAGTAGGTGTTCCGAATCATCCGCAAAACGGCGTAAACCTTTTGAGCCAATTTTCCTTGGTGCAGCGAGAACGTCGTGTTTGAATGTGGACATATAGTTAAATCCATTTTAGTATATATCCTCGTAATGTCTTCTGGTCCATTCTCAAGAGACATGGCAAAAGCTCAACACAGAACCAAATTAAAGAACTTTGAGGCAATGTTTTGTGGCTTTTATGGTTTCGGGACATTTGTAATCTTCGATGGGCACAACTCTGTTGCTAATTTCTTTAATCACCGCGCCTGCACCTTTTCGACGAGCGCAGCCCATGAACTCCGATTGGACAATCATTGTTTCTTAGGACAGGAGAGGCATACCTGATTTCTCGGCAGTAAAGCTTTATAGCGTAT